TGATAGAGACGCTCATACACACATGCCGACGCGCACACATACATACGTCCACGCACAAAAACACGCAGACTCACCCAAACACACACGCACACAGAGGAAAAATTAACTTAACACCAATAACAAGAGCAAACGAAAAATGAGAAAAACGGCAGTTACTTACTGAAACCTCCTGATGAGTGGACTGAATGATTACAAAAAAGTTAATCTACGAAACATCAATCAGCCAAGTGATAAATTTTATTTGTATTAATCCTATATATATATATATATATATATATATATATATATAATTGTCGGACAGGGTTCATTTCATTGTATATTGTCATTGTTTACATTAAGATGCGTTTCGTGAGCAGATATCATCGATCGAGAAAATTCATCGAATATTGTGTGTACGTAAAAGTCATAAGAATTTAGAAATAATAAAATTATTTTATTTTTATTCGACACTTTAACTCGGCATAATCTTTCTTCGTGTACGCAACCGATCTCCGTGGTTTGTTTACATTTATTTTACATGCAATTTTTCTTTTCTTTTAATATCACCATTCTTTATGATCCCTTCACATAAAGTCACTGTTAAAAGACATTAGAGAACCCAAATTATGTAATATTTCGAATATGTCACAGTACGCGAGCTTAAAAATGAAAAAAAAAAAAAAACATATGAGCAACGTGCCGTGCCCCGCTTAAGTTTTAATTACAGTTTAATTAGACGATATCAATTGCAACAAAAAGCGAAATTAAACTTTGAAACCTTTAATAAAGAATTGCTTTTTAAACCTTTCACTCTGTTCGATATTTAAGTTTTAACTTTAAATGAGTTAATTGGTTAAATTTTAATCGCGTTTAACTACAGTAGTTACAACCTGTTACTTCAGGTTGTTTATGATTCGCCGAGATCAAAAAACGGACGGACAGACGGAGACACGTGCACTGCGCTTTATTTCTTCTTTTTCTGGTTTGCTTCATTCAACGTAAGCTCTCATTTTTTCCCCTTTTCCTTTATTAGCGCATCTAAATTTCTTTTACACAATTCATTCTTGTATCTTTCTACGTTACTGTAGTTTCTGTTCGCTTTTTCTTGTTATTACTTTTCTTTCTTCAATTTTATTCTACCTTCCTGTTCTAGGTGCAGAATTTTTCTTCGCTTTCTCTCTTTCTTTCTTTATTATGCATTTATTCATCTCTTTATTTCTTTCGTTCTTTATTTATCTAATTATTTATTTGTTTATTTATTTCTTCCTCTCTTTTTCTTTCTTTCTTTATTTCTTCCTTCATTTCTTTCTTTCTATCTATATCTAATTATTTATTTGCTTCCATCTTCCTTCTTTCATTTTTTTTTATTTATAATTATTTATTTGTTTATTTACTTATTTATTTATTTCTATCTTTCTTTATTTCTTTCCATAGATTTACAATTTTATCTGAAGCAAGCATGTGAATACGTGCTTTTAACTAATTTTTATGTGGTGAATTCATATTTCTGAACAGTTTTGCTGTCTCATCTTTAGTTGTTTTGCTTTCACGTATCACATTTCTATTACACAGCATATAAATAAGTGTTTATTTTAACAAAGGCATATTACAGAATAAACAAGCATAAAGACAGAGTATTGACGTAAGTAAATCAGTTTGGTAATACCATACATACACATCATAGTACAGCAGGCACTCAGAAGTGTGTTTTTTTTACGATTTCTTGTACATTACATCCTGTATGTTGCGCAGGGGCATCCAGCAGGAGTTCCCCTTCATGCTGGGGTTCCACTTGCCTTGATATTTTCTTTCCATCTTAGTAATATATTGGTGGAACCTTTCACCATGATCATCACTCACTGCTCTGAGGTTTTCATGGAACAAGTTAAGGTGGGAATGGAGAAAGTGAATTTTGAATGACATTCGGCATCCCATATCCTCATAAGCCTGTAACTTCTTCTCGATACATCATACTTATTAAAAAACCCAGGTTGTGTGTGTGTGTGTGTCTGTACGTTTATATATTGGATCGGATTTCCTACATTTTTCAACCGATTTCAACAAAAGTTCACAGGACTACGTAAAATTACCTTGCGGTGGTTCTGATAGCGCCAAAAATTGGAAAAACACAATTGTTTTGCATGAAATCAATTTGAAAACACGATTAAGAGGCATCGCTTTCGCGGAATGAAAGGGGGACAACTCATATCGAGTTATACTTATTATAAAACCCAGGTTGTTTATGTGTGTGTGTGTGTGTGTGTTCGTTTATATATGGGATCGGATTTTCTACATTTTTCAACCGATTTCAACAAAACTTCACTTTTTTCTTTTTGGCAGGTAGTGTTTCTTATTGTCTTGCACACTTTTTCTTTATTTTTTACATTCAGAATGTTTAAAAATTTCATTTACAAGACAATTTGTTTATAATAAAATTCTATTCAATCGGTAGACTCATAACGATTGAAAACAATGTTTTTGTGTTGAGTTTGGGTTTGACCAATTCATTAAAAAAAAACTAATTAAGACATGCGTGTCCGTCAACCTTAAACAATAATCTTTGTCAATTTTATTTTTCAGTCTTTATGATGGTCAATACTTGATCTATCTCTTACTGTTAAATTCCCGGGCTACACCGGGCTCTACTGCTAGTTCTTGATAGTCTGGTACCCGTGACTTATCCAGGAAGCCATGGCAGATTGACAAATGCTTCCTATGACCCAGTTAATTTAAGATAAGCTCTTCAAATACCTTATCCTTTAGTACTTCTCGGATCTGACGTCCGGCGAAGATGCTTCGGAGAACCGAAAGAGGAGAATAGAATGTATAGGTGTTAAAAGACAAGCACCATTTTTGTCCAGGGCCTTCACGAAATTCTTGATTAGAATTGATATGAAAAGGAAGAAGCACATTGTTCATGTATATCAGAGGATTTTCATTTGACACTGGTTTCACTATGCAGGAAATAGCTTCTAGACACTCAGTGCTTCTGCCCATAGTGCTTAGACACAACCCGACTGTCCTAGAAAAACCAACAGCGCTTCGTGAAGCCCGCTTGCATCCTCATAAGGAGGGCCATGGCAGGAACTCCCCCACAGAGACTACACTGGTACTACTTGTACTTGACAGATTCCAAAATGAGCTCCATATTGTTATACGGCTCCTTCAGATGGACTGAGTGGGCAATGGGAATGTTGGGGTATTTATTACCATTGTGTAGGAGTAGAGCCTTCAGACTTTGCTTGGAAGAGTCTGCAAAAGGAGGCCAATCTGAGAATTGTGTGGGAAGTCAATGATGGTGAACAAGCCAGAGACACATGTGCAGTAGCACAATCTGTTTTCCATGGTGAAGAATGAGGCGAAGTCCTTTTTCGTGTCCTGAAACTGGTGATCTTTACATCTGCCGTGACCAGGATCCAATGCTTAAGCCGGGATGTCAGGAGCTCCGATTGCTGCTTAGATACGTAGAAATCACGGGCGAGGTCATTCAGATCTTTCTGGATGATCCAGTTGAGCATTGTCTTCAAAAGACCGACATGGCAGAATTTTTTCTCTGAAGTTAATTCTTCATATGATGAATGAATAAGATCATTATGTTCTGTGGGTGTAGCCGTCTCATAACTGAGGCAAGGTTGAGATCTTTTAAGTATAAGCCTCCTCCTTGTTTGCAACCTCTCTAAGACGCCATCGTTGCTCACACGCTCGGTCCATGATATCCTTAGCATTCTTCTGCAGAACCACATCTCTGTCTCCTCGAGTCTCTTCTTCATCTTTGAGGAAATCGTCCAACATTCGCTGCAGTAAAGAAGAACAGATGTCACGTCGCAGTTCAGTATTCTTTTCTTTGTTACCAAAGATTATTGAGCATTGAAACCAGTTTTATTTGTTAGACAAAAATAGCAATCATCTTCATGGCTTTGTGGCTCTCATTAGGACAGCAAAGTTGAAGGCTTGCTTTCATGATATGAAACCATATAGTTTTTTCCGTTATAACAGGGTTGAAAACATGTGTTGGGCCCAGGATTTATACTGATCTCCATTTTTTTCAGTCAAAATAATGACAATGCAATTGTTCGGTACTATGCAACTGTCGTGAAACTCCTATACGCGTAACAGAATGAATTTGCCTCGTTGATGCATCCTAGTTGTTTTGAAATGCCTGAAGCCATTGTAGAGATATGTGTCATCTCACAAAAATGGGGAAAACAATATAAACTTTGATCATATACATGGTTAAGTCTATGCGGCACGCATTCGAATTTGAAGAGGATTTCATTATGCCGCAATAAAACTTAGCCTGCATGGCCGAGTGTAGGCCGATGAAGTCTGCCATTACGTAAGTGTTTTGTTTTTTTTTTTAAAAAAAAAAGCACAATATTTAAAATTTTAAATTTTTTAAAAAATAACACAATGTCACAAATAGGACACATTTGACCACCTTGAACGCATACACATGTATATATTTATGTACATGTATACATGTATATCTCAAATACTAAAGGTCATCAGTGAACGCAGATTTCGTATCGGAAATGCGCAGCGAAAAAAAACTACCTTTTTTAATTCTTGCCTTAATTTCTTTGTAAACTAGTGTTATTTTTTGTTTATTTATTTGTATATCTAATTATTTCTTTCTTTCTTTCTTTCTTTCTTTTGAAGCTCAGAACCTTATTCACCTGTTTTTAATATCAAATTATATCTATCTTTCTTTCTCTCTCTCTCTTTCTTTCTTTCCTTTTTCTTTCCTTCTTTCTTTCCTTTTTCTTTCCTTCTTTCTTTCCTTCTTTCTTTCTTTCTAAGCTCAGAACCTTATTCACCTGTTTTTAATATAAAATTCTCTCTTTTTCCTTCTCTCTTTCTTTCTTTCTTTCTTTCTTTCTTTTGAAGCTCAGAACCTTATTCACCTGTTTTTAATATCAAATTATGTCTCTCTTTCCTTCTCTCTCTCTTTCTTTCCTTCCTTCCATCCTTCCTTCATTGTAGGCTCAGAACCTTATCCACCTGATTTTTAATATCTAATTATGTCTTCCTTTCTTTCTTTCTTTCTTTCTTTCTTTCTTTCTTTCTTTCTTTGTATTTATATAGAACAGTTTTCTCTTGTATATAAATACTAATGATTTCATTTTGTGACAAGTATTTATATACAAGAGCAAACTGTTCTATATAAATACTTTTCACAAAATAAAATCATTACATTTACTTTGATAATGTTTCTAAGAATTCTCATTGGTTCCCAACACTTAATAATTTCCTCTGTATTAATAATGATGGCTGCTTCGCTTATATATCTCCCTACCTTGTCAATTAAAGAGAAGAATTACTACATTTTATTATGTTTTAATATCCAATAAATTGACTTTTTATTTCTACTACGACGTCACAGTTTGCCTTTTGTTTTTCATTATAGCAGGAAATCGTGTTGTAAATGAGAATGTTTTTACGAAGTCATTACTATTATTTAAAAATAGTTACATTAACAAAATTAATATGCAGCAGTAAACAAACATGTCATAAGATGTAATTATAAAATACCATTAACACAGTAACTTATAGATTGACTTTCTAAGCAAATCATCTTGAAGGCTTAACCTCAAAATGTGTAAAAAAATGTAAGTATCATCGCACTTTATTGACATGCGGAATCACGACATTTCGGTCGTTGACTCCGACTTCTCATCAAAGTATATCGATCCGCGCAACTTATAGGCAATTCTGAACTGAACCCTTTATTTAATCTAAAGAGATAGACTGTTGTCGTTAAAAACGTGTACCTTTGTTTCATAGACTACGCAAAGGCCTTCGACAAAGTACACCACAATGACCTGATGGAACTGCTCAGCAACCTCGATATATTCGGAAAAGATATCAGAATAATCAAGAACCTATACTAGCAGCAAACAGCATGCATACTCATAGGGAACGAATTCAATGAATATACAAAAATAGAAAGGGGCGTAAGGCAAGGATGCATCTTCTCACCGGACCTGTTCAACCTATACAGCGAGACAATCATGAGAGAATTGGAAACCCTACCAGGATTTAGCATTGGCGGCCACAATTTTAACAACATAAGATACGCAGATGACTCAGTACTGATAGGAGATAAGGAAATGAAATTACAAAATCTCTTACAGAAGGTAGCGACGTAAAGTGAGAAGGGACAAAGCATAAACTACAAGAAGACGGAGTGTATGGTTGTTAGTAAGAAGATGAGCCCGAAATGCGATCTGAAGGTCGGGAACACTAGAATCAAACAGACGCGGAAGCTTAAATATCTGGGAAGCGTCTTGACAAAGGACGATAAGTGCGACACTGAGACGTATTGGGATGGCCAAGGACACATTCCAAAAGCTAGGCAGAGTATTGCGAGACAAGAGGATCTCTTTGGTAACAAAGAAAAGAATACTGAACTGTTACGTGACATCTGTTCTTCTTTACGGCAGCGTATGTTGGACGATTTCCTCAAAGATGAAGAAGAGTCTCAAGGCGACAGAGATGTGGTTCTACAGAAGGATGCTAAGGATATCATGGACCGAGGGTGTGAGCAACGATGAGATTTTAGTTTGAAAACAAGAAGGAGGCTTATACTTAATATCAGGAAGAGGCAGCTGAAGTTTCTGGAATGAGGAAGGAGGGCCTGGAGAATCTGATACTCAAGGGTCGAATAGAGGGAAAGAGAGACAAAGGAAAACATCGCGAGGCATATCTGGCAGACTTAAGCAAGTGGATGACAGAACGTGGTCTGGGGGAGAAAGAAGACGGAAGGAACTTGTTGAGAACTGCAAGGGATAGAGGGAGGTGGAGAGCCATGATCGCCTACGTCCTGAAAGGACATGGAACATAAAAAGAAAGAAAGCCCATGACTAAGGATATCTCGTTTAGTTCTTATTTTTCGTACTGCTCAGTTATTTATCGCCCTGTTTCCACAGAGGCGTATCCTCACACTACGCTGAACCACCGGTTCCCGTACGATCCCTGAATTTAAGCAACGTTGAGCCTGGTTAGTACTTAGATGGGTGACTATTTGAGAATACCAGATGTTGTAAGCTTGAATGCGCAGGTGGTAATGGGTAATGGCTAGGCATTGTTAATTGGAGAATAAATTTTCCAATTCCAGCTGGGTTCGTCACAAGCGCAAATAGGAACCCCACTCTTCTCCACTTCCAGCTATGGGTTAATTAATCATACTTGTGTAACTAAATAATAATTATCTCCAAAAAAAAAAAAACTTACAATCTAAAAATATTTTCTGGCTTTAAATAACCTGCAACGTCTTGATAAACTGTAGAAAACAATTCAACAAATTTATTTGCATCCTCGAAAAAAAAAAGATCAATAAGTTTAATATACATAAAATGTCTATTCTTTTTAATAATATGAGTTTACAAGAGTTACTGACAAAATATACCGAATTTAAATTACATATATATTAACTACGTATATGTTAAATCACAATGTCACGTGATTGTTAGTCGGGGAAGAGAGTTCCAGTTCCCGTTGGGTCCGTTATGTTCACTTACGGGCTAATAAATTTGGGAACGGCATGCAGCCACCTCTTCTCCCCCAGCTATGGGCTAATTAGTAAGAATTTTATTATTAAACAATTATTATCCAAAAAAGCTTATTTCAATCTAAAATATTTCCTGGCTTTAAATAACATGAAAAGGGTTGATAAGCCGTAGAAATTTAACCAATCAAATCAAATAAATGTTTCCACTGAGTTCAAGTTCATTCTGTCTTGCCCAAGGATTAAACTCGCAATTATTATATCAGTAAATTCACGAACCTGCGATGAAACTAGTTTGCCCACCAGGCATTTATCATGAGGAGAGTGGCTAAACACACAGCAGGATTAAACCCAAATCCTGTCAAAGGTAAGTGAATCTACTAGCAGGATCAGCAGCCATTACAAAACTATGTTATAGACTAGGCATTATAGCTATGTATGCAACCAGTTCACTGATTATACGGCATCGCTAAGCGGAGGGCTTCCTAGACTGAAATTAACGACCAGGTAGAATCACGTCTATCCATAAAGTGTTAAAAAACTGCCTTAAAAATAAATACCCTGTTAGCACTTTTTGGCTGCAAAATGAGATTCGGGCATCAAGAAAGGAACTTAAGGCCTCGGAAAAAGCCGCCCTACTGTACTTACTATTTAGCTGAATCTCAAACATCTTCTTGCCTAAACCATTGTACTGATAATAATCTGGGCGTAGGCAATAAATAAAAGAAAAGAAAACATCGAATTGCGTTAGCAATTCTGTCCCCCTTCATAGCGATTAGATTTCTCCTACTATAATACCTTTCCATACAACTGTTAACCCCAATGACCTTTCAGCAATAAAACACGTTGCAAAATTACTAGATCCAAACCAACGGGAAAGCCCACCCTTAAAACTACTGCGTAAGACGTATTAAGAATTGGAAACGTAGTTTTAAACTATACTGGAGATAGCAGACATTTGTAATGCGTTCGTATCGCTTGACTGCTTTCATATGTTAACTCTCCGAGGTGTGTTTCATGGCTGATGTTGCAAAACGTTAATGCTTTTAGAAGACGTAAGTTTAACCTGAGAAAGAGACGGTCACCGATATCCCAGCATGATTTTCGCAACCTCATTTCCGGTGGCTGTTTGTAAAGTTAATGTGAGCACAAATTGTAGATGCGATAACGACGAAAATGGTTCTATCTTAAAAAGATCGCTGACGACGTATGCAAATTCTAATCTCGTCTGGAAATATGACCACATTTTATTAATGCGTAAAACAAGCATCGACTTTCCCCACTTGAAAAACCGGCCAGAAATGTATACTCTCGCAGCTATTAGGTTGTCCCAAAAGTTCGTAAACACTTGCAAAAAATTGAAATTTTACTCGCCAAGTAATAACAAAAACAACAAAAATTATTCCTCAAAATAAAGACCATCATTTTCCAAGACTTTCTGCCATCGATCTGCAAGCTTTCGAATCTGGTGAAAGTACCATTCAGCCGGCTTCGAATCAAAGAATTCTTGACACGCTTCCTCGACTTCATCGAATGAGTCGAATCGGCGGTCCTTCAGAAAGTGTTGCATTGAGCGGAAAAGGCCGTAATCTAATGGAGCACAGTCAGGACTGTAGGCTGAATGTGGCAGAACCTCAACGCCGTCCAGTTATTCAAACTTGTCTTTGGTCTTCCTGGCGGTGTGTGGCTTGGCATTGTCCTGCTGCATCAAAGCGCGCTTTCGGTTGATCAGAGCCGGGTACTTTTGCTTCAACTTTTCGTAGACCCGCTTCAGTTGCTGACAGTAAAGTTCGGCACTGATGGCACGACCATTCGGAACCAACTCAAAATGCAGGATTCCTTCAAAGTTCCACCAAACGCACAACATGACTTTCTTACCGAATCGATCTTGTTTTGGAACCGACGGTGTCTCTTGCCCTTTCTGAACCCATCGCTTGTCTCCATTGTGCTGGACCAGATAGACCCATTTCTCGTCCGATGTCACAATGCGCTTCCAAAAACGCTCGTCCAATGGATTGCTGAGCAATTGACGGCAAATTTCAACTCGTCTCTTGGCTTGTGCTTCGGTGAGTTTGTGCGGATCTTGGCGCGGCTTTTTGTGAACAAAATCAAGTTGCTTCAAGTGTCGGTGAATTCGATTTGCCAACTCCAAGCTTATCAGCCAAATCTCGATAAAGTAAAAAAAACAATTAGAAATTGCATAAAAATTCAATTTTTCGCAAATGTTTACGAACTTTTGGGACAACCTAATATTTAATTTTTTTTTTTATTTCTCCAACTTACCCACTGTTTTTCACTTTTCTCCAAAGTGGAACTCGTGGATAAGGATGCGGGTAAAATGGCCAATTCTCTGTACCACCCAGTAAGTACCACCCAGTAAGTAGCTGACTCCTCCTATTATCTTCTAACTTTACAAGAGCAAGATCAGGCCAAAAATGGAGTACTGTTGTCATATTTAAACAGAGGGTTCCCAGACCTCACTCTCAAGCCTTGATAGAGTCCAAAAGCCTCTACGATCCCTTGTGAGTGACGTCTTATTCTCCACCCTCCAACTTCTCTCCCACAGGCGAGATGAGGTAAGATTCTCGCTGCTCTATCACTACGTCTGCGGAAAGTGCTCGGAAGAACGACATTCCCTGGTCTTGCCAGTTCAAAGCATCGCCTCAAGGACCTGCCATGCCACGTACATTGTAGAAAACCACACTTCCTCTGTATTCCCTTGGTGAGAAATAAATTCCACACGAACTGCTTCTTCCAGAGAACTACTGCTCTGTGGATTCGACTCCCAAGACGATGTTTCCCCGATCGCTACAATCTTAACCTGTTCAAGGCTAGGGTTAACTGTTATCTTTCACTGCTGTCCGCACAGATTACCGCCTAACGTAACCCTCTACTTCGAGTAGCCCCCGCGCCTTGTAAAGAGTGAACCTTACTGTAAAGAAATTGTCCGTTTCTCCAAACTCTCCTTTTATTGTAACCTTCTTTCACTTATATTTTTCTGAAAACAAATTAATTTTCAGTGAATTTTCCAACCTACCATTTTATTCCAACCTTCCATTTTATTCCAGCCTAAATAGTAGCTTGCATTATAAAGGCCAAATAAATAAGTATAAGAAAAAAAGCACGTCTTTTCTACAAATATTTTCATGGCAATTGTTCTGATGAGCTTTCCTCTTTGATACTACGATGCATCAATTTAAGCATTCTACTAAATTGGTAACTTGCCCTCACCGTTTTAATTTTAAACTAGCTAGATGTTCTAGTTTCTTTTCTCTTACTTCTCGCCTGTGGAACGCCATTCCGATTTCTTTCTTCCCTGCCAACTACAATCTTCAAAAATTTAAATACAACGCCAATTGCTATCTTCTGTCTTCCTGAATTCTGTTCTTTTATTGTCCTTTCTCCCCGGTAAAGTCTTCTCATTCTCTTTCACTTCCTGTAACCTTGTTGTGGTAGGATCCACCTAATTTGCATAGTGGAGTACCGACCATATAAATATGGTTGGTACCGGGAAGAGAGGGAGGAATCAAGAGATTCAACCAGAGACTCTGCCCGACTGCGACTCAGTCAACACATTCTCCAGGAACGGTCTTACCAGGAATATACAAAAGACTATATGTAAATATTGTGTACACTTTCTTGTTTCAATACATTTTGTTCTAAGTACATTTTGTGTTGCATTATTATTCCATGCATTAGTCAAGTTTCAACAAACCTCTTGCGTCCTAGTGGCATTACCGCCTTGCTTGGGATGAAATAATTTCTACTCTAGATTGCTAACGCCCTTAAAGGATGTGTCATATGAAGTAGAGCTGCTGGGAGTGAAATTGGAGTTAAGAAGATTGTGCCGAACCAAGAGGACGTTCTTCCTTTAACATCCAAAATACTTATCTGGCGTCGAATCCTGACCATTTATTGCCAGTCGAAAATCGTTCAACTATCTTACGGCACGTCATCATCTGAGCTGTTTCTTGAAGAGGTTAAGATTTTAGGGATCAGAGAAGCATCCTTTCAGATGTCTATGTCACGACTTAACAGCTCCAGGGAAGATGATCTCTGAGTGAAACAACCTCCTTACGAATGGAGACGTTATGGAGGGTTATGAAGACGATTCGACCCTGTGTACGTGTTATGGCGAGTTAGAGCTGTGAAAGTTTGGGCTGGTGGAACTAGATATAACATTAGTAAAAAATAAAAATATAAAAGATTTTATAAGAATCTTGAAACAAAAGCGTATCACTTTTACTGATATAATGGAAAGCAAAGAACGCTAACAGAATCCTAATGATGACCACATTCAAGGCTTAATAGTGAAGGCATAGACGAGATTTTGCGGTAGCTATTACGAGATTTTCCACTATATCTAGTGACGTAGTTTCACAGTGAGCAACTGAAATGTAAAATGTAAAAGGATTTGAAGAAGAAATAAAAACAAAGTCAAAGCCACTGGGATAGGAATTGAAATAATGTCTGAAGAAATTAATATGGAAAAATAACGAAATTACTTCGTGGAAGAATTGATATTCTACAATTAATGCCAATAACGATGTATTACAATTTATTTATTACGTGTGAATTCAAAATAAATTCTGAATAATATAATCAATATCGAATATAATATTTCTTTGTTTTCTTTTCTTTTAAATATACTCATTGTAAAGAATGTCTGGGTAATATTGTAAAAATTAGATATTTAATAATGTTTTATCGTTCAACCAATTTATTTCTAAGATAATTAGAAGTCCTCCCAGGATTCATTATGGGCGACCACAATCTTAACATATGATATGTGCAGATGACACAGTATTGTGAGTAGGCAGAGACAAGAAACTGCAAAAACTCCTACAGGATGTAGCGAATGAAAGCAAAAAGAAAGGACTAAACAGTAATGGCTGACTACGCAAGTATAAATAGTCTACGGACAGCAATAAGGAAGCAAAAAACAGCACTGCTAAATAGTCGCCTGGTACTTTTTAAACGAGGATTTTGGGCATTTAATATATACGTAACCAATATATATGTAATTCAAATTCGGTATAGTGATTTTCTAAGCCCGGCTTACATGTGGCACATGGCCGAAAGTATGGGGCACCCAGTGAGAATCGAACTCAGTACTCAGTCGTAATTGATCTAGCAAGACAAGCTTTATAACCATTAGACCACGTCAAGGTGCCCAATAGTGTTTTCCAAGCGTAGCTTAGATGTGGACACAAGGCCGAAATTGGGGGCACCCAGTGAGGATCGACCTCACTACTCAGTCGTAATTGTTCTAGCGAGCCAAGCTTGCTAACCATTACACCGTTTCGAGGTGCCCAATTTAAATTCGGTATATGTTGTTAGTACTTGTTCTAATAAACACGTCTTATTAAAAAAGAATAGACATTTTATGTATATTAAACTTATTGATCGTTTTTTTTTTCTAGTGTGCAAATAAACTGGTTGATTGATTCGTTTTCTACGGTTTATCAACCCTTTACGGGTTAAAGCCAGAAAAACATTTTTAGATGGTAAGACTTTTTTGAGATAATAATTATTTAGTTATACAAGTATTACTAGTTAACCCATAGATGGAGAGAAGAGATGGATTCATATTTGCGCGTATAATGAACCCAACTGAAATTGGAACTCTGATCTACAATTAATAATGCTAAACCATTATCCATTACACTACCCATACATTCAAGCTTATATCACGTGATATTCCCAAGCGGTCACTAATCTAGATGCTGACCAGCCTTGACATTGCTTACCTTTGGTGATCATAAAATTTCAAGAAAACAAAATGGATGGTTGTTAGCAAAAGGAAGAGCATAACATACTAATTAAAAATTGGAGATACCGAAATCAAATAGGTAAAGCGGTGCAAATATCTGCGAAATGACAGTAAGTGCCAAAGTGCAACCAGAAGTTGCATTGGGACAGCGAAAGATGCCTTGCAAAAGCTAAGCAATTATTGAGAAACAGAAAAATATTGTTAGAATCAAAGTAAAATGTACTGAACTATTTCATAATATCAGTTCTCCTATATGGCAATGAATGCTGGAAAATCTCCTCCTAGATGAAGAAGAGACTTGAAGCAATAGACATTTTATTCTACAGAATAATGCTGAGAATACCATAGTGGAACATGAAATTTTCGAGTAAAAGAAAAAATATATATATTTACTTATACTTAACATCAGGAAGAGACAGTTGAAATTTCTAATTTTACATAACGAGGAAATATAACGTATAAGTAAATGGATGGCGGAGAAAGGTTTAGGAAAGAAAAAAATCGAAATTTAATAAGAGCTAGAAAAAACAGGAAATTGTGGAGAGCCATAATCGCTAACGGCCTGAAGAGATACGGCACATAAAAGAAGAATCTCTTTTTTCACGATTTCCTTTTTCGTCTAAAGCAAATTTTTTTTTCTGTTTTTTTCTGCTTTTTATTCTTTTTTTTTTCATTTCTTCTGCATTCTCTCTTGCTCCTTTCCACTTTTTCTTTATACTCTTTTTTTTTCTTCTTCTTTCGTTTTATCTCTTTTTTTTCTCACTGTTGCTTTATTCTGTCGTTTACCTTTTCTCTCCTTTCTTTTATTGTCTTTCTCATTCTTTATTTTATTTTATTTTTCGCTCTTTTTATTCTTCTGTTTCGTCATTTTCTCTTTTTCGTTTTCCTCTTTCTTATTCCCCTTTCTTCTCCCCGTTTCATTATTCTCTCTTTTCATTTTCGTTTTTTCTATCTTTTTGTACTTCTCAGTTTTAATTCTTTCTTTTTCTTTTTTTCTCTCTTTTCTTCCCGCCATTTTTTTTTTCTTCTCGTTCAATCTTTATTCCATCTTTCACCTTCGTTCTCCTTTGCTTGTTCGCTTAGGTTCGTGTATTTTTTTCTTTTCCTTTCTTTCCCATTTATCTTTTGTCTTTTCTTTCCTTTTCCTAATCTTTCTTGCTTTTCTCTCTTTTTATTCCTATATCTTTTTACAATTATTTCAGCTCCTCTTGAACTATAGTCAAACAGAACGTTCATAATTTGTATAGTCATTTACCGAATAACTGATATATTTTAATTCGAAAAACACCAAACGTGCATCTACATGGCGTGGGTCTGCCTTAGCGAAAACTTAAAACGAAGGTGGAAAATTTGACTTGATCAACCTGATGACGATACATGGCCGTGTAAAGGGAGAATGATTATCCTAGACAGAAATGGTAAGAAATAAAAGAAGAAAGAAAAAGCATCGTTTGATTAGAAATGGAAAGAAATCTCCTTCGAAAATTCAAAGAGCAAACAAAAGTTTCAGATGAAATGACACGGATATCGATGCTCAAAACACATTTAAAAACATAAACAGTATCCCAGAATAAATTCCTTCACTCCCACTATACTAATGCGTGACACAATGAAACCCGTTCGATTAGTTTGGACACTCACATAGTTAAGTAGACTTTAAGGAATTTTATTTGGGCATGTACCAACCGGGGATTTTTTGACTACTAGTTATTAGTAGTTAGTGATCAATCACTAACTACGTTGGCAGTAAATTTGAAGCGCAAAAGACTCGAACCAAACCAAAAGCTGTCTATATTTAGGGGAAATAAATAAAATAAATGAATAAAGTTTCGGGATCAAGTGTCACTATGCCGGAAGTTAGAGAATTCAGGTCATGGACTTATATAGTCAAGACGCATTCTACATAAGAGTGAGCTAGATGCCGTCTGTCGACATGTAAAGAGGAACAGACATATCAACAGAAATCACGTTTAGAATAATAAGAGACAGGGGGAGAAATTAAATTCTTGCTTGCCGAATGGGGAGATCTGGTCTGTTAGTTTGTCCTGAGAGAAGACAGAAGTAGCAGTAACGATGTCCCAATGTCAGACCGTATCAGGAGAAATGATCCACGAATAAAGAACCCTATCTATCGGAACCGAGAGAATTCCTTCTTGTCTTTCTCACCAAGGCGATATATCGAAGGGCGTATTCAAGTCCGTTCAAGTCCGTTCTCCTCGAGCGACACTGTACACCGGGTCTTTCCCAGATTTGTACCCACTGACACAGACGGCTTGGGGCAGAAGGTAACAGTCTGAAGAATCCAGCCAGGTGTTCACAAGTGTTTCCCATAATTAGAACGAGATGAAGACGAGTCTCGAGGCGACGGAGATGTGGTTCTACAGAAGGATGCTAAGGATATCATAGACGTTTGTAACCTATCTAAGACCTCATTGCTCACATACTCGGTCTATGATATCCTATGTCACGTACTGCTTCCCCTTGTCTCTCTTTCCCTCTATTCGACCCGTGAGTATCAGATTCGCCAGACCCTCCTTCCTCATTATATATCCCATAAACTTCAGCTGCCTCTTTCTGATATTAAGTATAAGCTTTCTCCTTATTTGTAACCTATCTAAGACCTCGTCATTGCTCACATACTCAGACATACCTGACGAGCTTGAGCAGGTGGATGACAGAACGTGGTCTGGGGGAGGAAGCAGAGGGAAGGAGATTGCTGAGAGCTTCAAGGGATAGAGGGACGTGGAGAGCCATGATTGCCTACGTCCTGAAAGGAGATGGAACATAAAAAGAGAAGAAATAACGCAGGAGGCTAGCAAGTGCCGAATGTGCGAAGACAGATATGAAATTCTCGATGTCACAAGAAATTATAACTAGTGTATAATATGACTTTTTTTAAATACTACCGTTCATAAAGTACAGGATCAAAGAACCACAGAAGGTTGAGGGTTAATAAATAAAATCGTTGGATGGATGGAAAAGTAGGGACAAAGAAGGATGGTAACGAGTCAAACATTGTTGAGTGGTACAAGAGACAAGAAGTTGTGAAGTTGTGGAGAGCCATGATTGCAAAGGTTCTGAAGGGATTTTTTTAAACATTTCTCCCCAGGCAAGGCGGAAGTGCCATCAGCACGCAAGAGGTTACGGAAAGTGGAAGCAAGAGTTAAGAGATTGAGGAAAGGGTAAAGAGAAGGATGGGGAATTAGATCAAGGCATCAGAAGATGTCGATTGACATTACACTTGAATATTTGAAGACTAAGAGGAAGGGAGTTCCACAGACGGGAAGTGCGAGAAGAAGTTATGGGAGTAGAAGAGACGGCTACATTTAACCGTTTCGACAATGAAAGGGTGGGACTGAGATGCCAACCAAGTAACACGCTTAAATAAATGCAGATTGGAAACCAGCGAAAATAGCTAGTCGGGAGAGTTAAAATGGATGGATGGAAGGAAGACAAAGAAAGATGGCAAAGAGTCAAAGATTGCTTAGAGTTAGAAGGGGCACGAAGTTTCAGAGAGACACGATTGTCTACGTCCTGAAGGGTCTGGGCACACAAAATGAATGGATGGCAGAAGAGAGACAATGAGAGAGAGAGAGTAAATAGTCAAATATTGCTGAGTGGTACAAGGGATAAGAAGTTGTGGAGAGCCGTGATTGAAAAGTGATTGTGTAAAGGATTAGTAGAGGTATGATGAGGCTATATAGAATAGATAACGGCCGACCCTAGACTTGAAGAGATTACGTTTATAGTGGTCGGGAAAACATCCCCGCGGGAGTCTATTCCACAAAGTAACGGTTCTGTGGAAGAACTTCCTCTTTACCAATGGAGTACAAGTAGAATTAGGATAAGTTTATCTAGTGTACGTGGCATGGTGAGTCCTAGCTGTGAAGGTCTGAACTAGTGAAACTAAGGAATGGAGCTAATTTGAATATTTTGTCATAGAAATAGCGATAGCAAGGTGGCGTCTGTGGATAAGGTGTTTCAAGGTAGAGAATTCCAACGCTTTGTAATCGCTTTAGAACTCTGTCAAGGCTGGATATTGGGGGCAGAGCAGCATTGGCCAACATGTGGAAACAATATTCAATCTTGTTCTGATCTAACTTCTAAAGAGAGAGCGTGTCAGTAAGAATTAGGTAGTTTCGGATAGCGCTATCAGCTGGGAATCAAAAAACCAAATTCGTTTGGTCCATGCCGACGAATGGTGTATGTACAAGCCAGTATCTCTATGAGAGAAGAGAAACGAAATAAAATTCTTCGAGATTTGGAAATTCTAAGAGATTGCCCAGTTAAATTAATGTAATACTATCTAACAATGGAAAAAATCTGCTCGCAAAGAGCATGAAACTATAGATACCAGAATCTTGTCAGAGGACAAAAAATATGCGGAATATGAAGGTTATTGAAACTTTTGGAACAGTCTAAAAGAATTTTGCCGAATAAATTTTGGGAAAAGCTGATCATGAATTGAAATCATTATAAAGACTGCATTACAAAATGCATCAAGGATATTTAGGAAAGTATTGAATTATTAAGAAAACTTGTTGTCACTTGATAACCAGTGACAAATCTCAGATATAACTGCTGTGAAAATTCATTAATAACAATAATACTTGAGACTTTCAGATTATTTGTGCTTTTTGCATTTCATGATATTCTTAGGACAAACATGGCCGCTTGTGAGTCATGGCAGAATAATACATTGGCAATCACTTTTTTGGTTATATTTTTCTATAGTACTAAAAAACTACAATAAAACTATTTCCAGAAAATACAATTTTTTCTTTGTTTCTATAAGCTTGTTATTCTTTCTTTCCCTTTTTCCTTCTTTAATTCTTTCTTTCTTTTTACTTTCTTTCTGTTCTATTTTGCACTTCATTCTTTCTTTATTTAGTAATCAATACATTCCTTTATTTATATTCTTTTTTCTTTCATTATATTTTCTTTCTTTCTTTCTTTTTTCTTTATGTCCTTTTTGTACTTCATTATCCTTCTTCCTTTCTTTATTCATTCATGCTTTCATTTATTTATTTATATTCCTTTTCCATTCATTCTATTTTCTTAAAATATTTCTTCAATATTTCTTTCTTTTTTCTTTCTCTTCTTCGTTTCATTATCTCTCATTCGTTCTTTCTTTCTTCATTAATTAATTTAATTATTTGACTTTTTCTTTCGTCTTATACTTCCTTCATCCTTCCTTTCTTCCTTCCTTTCCTAATTAACAATTTATAGTTTCTTTCCATACATGAACTTCCTTTACATACGTCCTTATAACTTTCCTTACATGAACTTCCTTTACATATGTTAACTCCATTTTTGTACCCTTTCTTTCTATTTATTTTCTTTCTTTCTTTTTTCTTTCTTTCTTTCTTTCGAATAATAAAATTCGCCTAGATGTTCTTTCTACAACTATCCTTCTTTCTTTTTTCTTTCTTTTCATTTTCCTTATTTATTCATTCATTCTTCTTATGTAGGCCAGCATGGAAAACTTTTGGGGACTTTTCTTTCATTATTTGACAAATTTCTGTTGAATCCTGGCCGTTTATACAGACCACAAAGACAAACTAAATAAGAGTTAGAAAGTAAACAAATATCGAACCCTTGATCGGCAGCAGCGAAAAATGTACAATGCAATTGTATATTTGTGTAGTATAAAGGCGACGATTGTGTCCATAATTCGCGCGATAAAAGGAACTGTTTGAAATACTCTCGCCGATTGAAGAGCTGAGAGTCTGGGGAAAATTAAAATTCAGATCGTATCGCTTGAACAGAGGGAGAGTAAGGCGGGATTCCAGGAGATCAATATTCAACAAGTAGATACACCGAATGTTAACCTCTGTTGATGGGAACCAGAAGCTGGTAGAAGCAATCACAGAATAAAATGATGACAATAATGATGAAAACGTGGGATGACGCGAAAGGGGAGAGAGAGAACGAATCGAAAGTGAAAGTAGAAATAGAAATCCTTCACAAAGACAAATATAACCAAATGTGGAAGCGACTAAGAAATGCGCTAATAATAACATCGTCATTCTTTTTGTAGTTTTCACTTATTAAGATGTTCACATGACAAACATAACTCCGCGTGAGTCATGGCCGAATGATAAATTGGTACCCACTCTTCTGTTTATATTTCTCTATTGTACCCTCTTTCTCTTCTTTTCTTCCTTTTGGTTCTGTTTCTGCCTTTTTCCATAACTTCTTTCTTTCTTTTTTCCATAACCTTTCTTTCTTTTTTCTTTCTCTCTTTCTTTCATTCTTTCCTTCTTTCTCAATTTAGAATGTATTCTTAACATAAATTGTTTTTATTTCTTCCAGAATAAATGATGCACTTTTTCTTTTTTTCTTTCTTTTTTTCTTTTTTTTTTCTTTCTTTTTTTTCTTTCTTTTTTTTCTTTCTTTTTTTCTTTCTTTTTTTCTTTCTTTCTTTCTTCTTTCTTTCTTAACACGTTATACATTTATTACTCATCTTTTTCCCCATAATTTGTTACACTTTTCTTTTCATCTATCTATCTATATATATATATATATATATATATATATATATATATATATTTTTGGAGTACCTTTCGTTATACAAATTTCTTTTTTTCCTCAGTACATTTTTTTTTAACTTTTTCCTCTAATTTGTGGAACTCCTTCTTTCTTTCTTTTTTTCTTTCTTTTTTCTTTCTTTCTTTTTTTCTTTCTTTTTTTCTTTCTTTCTTTCTTTCTTTCTTTTTTTCTTTCTTTCTTTCTTTCTTTCTTTTTTCTTTCTTTCTTTCTTTTTTCTTTCTTTCTTTCTTTTTTCTTTCTTTCTTTTTTCTTTCTTTCTTTCTTTCTTTCTTTCTTTCTTTTTTCTTTCTTTCTTTTTTTTTTCTTTCTTTCTTTTTTCTTTCTTTCTTTCTTTTTTTCTTAACACGTTATACATTTATTACTCATCTTTTTCCCCATAATTTGTTACACTTTTCTTTTCATCTATCTATCTATCTATATATATATATTTATCTATCTATCTATATTTATTTATATATATATATATATATATATATATATATATATATATATATATCTTAATGTTTTAGAGTACCTTTCGTTACACAAATTTCTTTTTTTCCTCAGTACATTTTTTTTAACTTTTTCCCCTAATTTGTGGAACTCCTTTTTTATTTTTATTTCTTTCTTTCTTTCTTTCTTAAAATTTTATAGATTTATCCCTTATATTAATTACTCTTTACATAAATTACTTTTTCTATAATTTGTCACACTCTTTTCCTTTGTTTCATCTATCTATCTCAATCTGGATCTATCTATCTATCTATCTATCTATCTATCTATCTATCTATCTATCTATCTAAACGCTTTAGAGTTCCTTTGGTTATATAAATTGTCTTTTTTTCTTTTTCCCAGTGCGTTTTTTTCACTTATTTCATAATTTGTTGAACTCCTTTTTTTCTTTCATTTCTCTTTCTTTCTTTAACTCTCCTTTGACTTCCTCTTTTTTCTCTCCTACCCACTTCTTTTATTGCCTTATTCTACAGTTTTTCTTTCAATATTATCAGTGCCATGTCATTATTTTGTGTCTTCATGCTAGTTTGCCGCTTCCCCGCCTTTTTTTTTTTTAATTCCTTTGACAACTTTCTTCCACTTGTTTACGCAACATTCGAATTGCAATGATTAGATCACGCAGCCCGTGCGTCATCAGCCATTCAATAATACCCGGATGTGACAGCAGTACAATCTCTGCTGACTCCTATTCACTTTGTCTATAATTCGTCTGACTTGTAAATCGGCCATTGTCATCTTGTTAACTTTCATTCTTTTCTTTTCTTGCATTGCTTCTTCTTTGTTTCTTTCCTTGTTGTTTCTTTTGATTTCTTTTATTCTCGTTAGTACTTATGTATTCGTAACATATTTAGTGCCAACATTTTACTTGTTTTGTGACAAATTTATCTTTATTTATTTATCATTTTATTGGCTTCATACTTATCCTTAAATGATTTCTTTTATTCTTCTTTATCTGTTATTTTCTCTTTTCATACTTTCTGTTGTCCATTTTTTTTTTTTGCATACTTCCATACTCTCTGTCATTTTCTTTCTTTCGTTCTTTCTTTTTTCTTACTTTTTCTTTTTACTATCTCTATTTTTCTTACTTTTTCTTTTCCTTACATTTCCTTTTTTCTTTCTCCTTTTCTTTCTTTCTATTTTTTCTTACGTTTTAATTTTTCTTTTATTCTTTCTTTTTTCTTTCTCCATATTATTTTCTTTTTCTTTTTTTCTTACCTTTTCTTTTCCATTTTCCATTTTTTAGCTTTCTTTTTTACCTCTTCTTTTTTCTCTTTCTTTCTTTCTTTCTGTTTTCTTTTTCTATTTTTCTTTCCTATCAATTTTTAATCCTATTTATTTTAACACAGAATTTTAACTCTTTTTTTTTTTTTGACATTTCAAAAACTTTTTAATTCATTTTTATCTTCTCTTTATTATTTGAAACCTGACTGCACATCGTCAATCCTCCTTCTTTCTTCTTCTTCTTCTTCTTCTTCTTCTTCTTTGTATATTCCTGTTCGTAAATTATGCACCAAATAAATGCACCATTACTTACTCTTTTCTTGTCTTTCATCTTCAACACTGTTTCTCAATCCATTTCCCCGTTATTTTGACTTTAAATGCTTATACACGATCCATAGAAAGCCCCACCGATATGTTTGATTACCATTTCCCACCATTTTCTTCTTTCTTCCTTTCTTTTTCAATTTATTTCATTGACTTTCATTTACTTCTTCTTTTTCTTTTCATTATTTTATGTCTCTTCTGCTCCGTGTTCATTTTACACGTTTGTTTGATAATTAAACCTCATTTGCCAACAAAGCAAAAGCAATTCGAAAAGATACTCCAAACACTCCGTTACTCATTCTCAGAAAATGCTTAGTCGAACAATTTCTTCTCTTCATTGTCACCTACGCTGTTAATGATGCTGCTGCTGTTGCTCTGGTTGGTAGGGTTTTTTTTCTCGATCCTCGTTAATCTTGATTCCTATTTTTGCCATATATATATATATATATATATATATATATATATTCATTTTAAGTTCAGATTTGGCCGCCACTCTCTTTTTTTCTTTGCTTTACCACAATTTGGAATGTCACCTCTGAGTTTGTTTTTTTTTTCTCCATAATTCTCTCATTTTCTTACCTTTTTTTAGTCCTTATTACAAGGATGGAAGAAGCAGGCGACACTTTTTCAGTTGACATTTATTGACTGTTCACAATGGCTCCTAGTGTTCAACATATCTTCTACTAAGCAGCCTTTTTGGATTTTTTTTTTCTGAATGGTACAATGTAGAGCATGATTTTTTTTTTATATAGAAAACATCTGCTCTATTGACTTTCTTCTATTGATTTTTTTTTTTTCGCCTGACTTTCGGGATAAAAAATGAATCTGTGAAATTACAGACACGTCTTAAAATACGTAATGGAATCAAAAAAGAACTCCAAAATATTTATTACTTCGTTGCAAGATGGTTACTTCAGTTACAAAAGATTTCTGTTCACACATCCTTGTTTTCATTTGATGCTCCTTGTGCACAATTCAGGTTTATACGCCGTAGAAGATTTTTGTAATTAGGTAATTGAATGACAAAGTAGTTAAAAATCAACTCATGCTCTAAAAAGAATTTATCGAACTAAAGTAATGTGCTTATTAATAAAATTAATATGTAGGAGAAGGGGAAGATATAAATGTAAAAATCGGTCATAATCATATATCTATCGAAAATGCTGAAGATGTAAAACTGATTGATTTGTTTTTTACGGATTATCAACAATTTGTGTGTTATTTAAAATATGTTTTGGATTGTAACAATCTTTTTTTTTTTTTTGTAAGTGAATATTGCATTAATTTAGAGAATAACGATTATTTTTCGAAGTACAAGTTCAACTATTTAATCTATAGATTGGAAGAGTAAATAGATAGATGTCAAGCGTCTCAGGGATATCGTTTCCTATGAAGAAAAATCTCGTAATCAGTTTTCTGTATTCACACGTCTGGCCTTAAACATAGAAACTTTCTAGTAATTGATTTTGCAGGAAATGTGCAAAGACTATCAGGCAGAGAAACCCCCGATTTCTTTTATTAAACAGGTGGTGGGTTGCGAAAATTTTCTTTTATAAAA